GCAGGGAGGGGCTGGGAGCACAGATGGCACAGGCTCTGAAGATGGTGAGCCACTACCTGCCAGTACAGAAGTCAACGACGGCCTGCAGGAGAGAATGAGGAACGTGGAGCCCACTCCACCAGCCCAGGTTGGCAAAAGACGTGGCGATCCTTTCTCCTCAGGAAGCTGCTGGCGGGCAGAGCGGCTGGGGAGGGAGGGTCTGTTGCAGCAGGCTGGCGTTAGGGAGGCAAAGCCAGAGCAGGACGAGGGTGACACGGCCGGTTAAAGCAATATACATTATGTACAAACTGGTTAATCAGTCCGCTCGCTGGCAGCGTCCTCGCTGGGCCCAGGCGCCTTGGCCAGGGGCCAGGGGCACCAGAAGGGAAGGGCAGGTTGTCCAACACCTTCTTGGTACTTGAGGGGGAGGGGAGGAAGTGCCGATGGCGCCTCCAGATACAAAAACGTGGAGAGAATTCTTAAATAACGGCACGAAACTGAGACTGTCCCCCGAGAAGCCCTGCAGGCCTCGGGCCAGGGAGTGGCCGCAGTGCAGTCTCTGCAGTGGGCTGGGTGTGGCATTAGCAGCAGCGTTTCTTTCGTTTACTATTCCTCGTGAGCTTCACCACATCGTTCTGTTGCTGCTGCTGCTGTTTCGCTAAGTTGTCTTTCTTTGCTCGGAGGACCAGCTCTGTGATGCAGTTGAACATCTGTGAGGATGGAGGACGCAGAGCAGGCCTCAGACCTCGTGCGGAGGCCCTGTCTCGGTGCTACCTCTGCTGGCCAGCAAGGCCACCTCCCAGGGCCCAGCTATTTCTACTCGTGAACTTTTTGGTATGTATGTCCCCACACCCGTTCTAGAAGGAGGTGGCAAACTATAAAGGTCAAAGAGGAACAACATCAAAGACCAATGAGCTGTGTCCAGGGGAAGTCAATCTCTCAGGATTTTCCCATCTTTTTCTTAAAGAGAAAGAACCCCTTTCCTTCAGTTGGAATCTTTGGACAAGACAAAGGTACCCCTGCTCTGGTGATGGATTAGAGGGACCCAGAACCTGCCCACCCCATGCCACCTCACTGCACATCCTGCCTAGAACCTTCCCCAGACCCCAAGACGTCCTTGTGATGCCAGGATCCACCTACCAACCCACAGTTCTGTCCTCCACGGGAAAGGTATCAAGCACGTGACAATTTGCTTCACTTTTTCCTCACAATCCAAGGGACAGGAACTCTCACCCCACCCCAATCTACAGAGGAACACAGGGAGCCTAGGGACCATAAGTTGCCACCCAAGGTGACTAGGACCCCACCACAGGCTCCCACGTGGAAAGACCCATATTGTGATCCTAGCCTGACTAAAGCACGGGGTGTTCAGGATGCAGTGGGAATCCAGCTTCCCTGGGCCTCTGGACTCCACACACCGTGGGCAGGACTCGCCCAAAGCCCTGAGCGCAGCGAGCCTGGGCTTGTGGCAAAAGGCCCAGCATTCCTCCCATAGACTTCCGACTACTTTCCAGCAGGCCATGCAGAAGTGAAGGGAAGCTGCCAGGCTGGAGGCTCAGCAGGTGCCACCTGAGCTCTGGAGGCCAAGGCCACAGGGAAAACTAGAAAGCAGGAAGAGGTGACAGCAGTGGGGCCAGGGCAGGGACAGTGAGGCAGAGAACTGAGTGGAAAATGCATGGCTGTGGTATGGACAGGTCTAAGTTTGATTCGCCCTCTTAACGACCTAGGTAACGTTCCTTAAGTTGGAACCTCAGTTTCCCATCTGAAAGGTGGAAGTAATTTACTTCAGAGGACTGCTGAGATGTGAGCTAACACTTCAAAGGGCCTGGCAATTCCTATGATGTTTTCTGTCGCCACCTGGGTGCCCCAGACAGGCAGGCCAGCCGTGGGGAAGTGGAGGGCATGGTGGTGGAGCGGAGCTGGGCCCCACTCCCTCCCTGCTCCTGCTCTGGCCCAGGCCTCACCTCTTCCACGTTGACATTCTCCTTGGCGCTGGTCTCAAACAGCTGGATCCCCATCTGCCCGGCGAATTTGTAGGCATCTTCTGTTTCCACCACCTTCCGCTCGGGATCATCATTCTTATTCCCCACTTCAAGGCAAAGCAAAGTCAGCTGGCCCTGCAGAGCACCCTGGCACCCTCCACCCCACTGTCCCCATCCCAGTGAGCCCAGTCTCACCTAATATTCGACACACATCATCACAGTTCTGGTTAATTTCGTGAAGCCACCGTTTGACGTTGACAAAGGACTCGGCACTGGTGACGTCATAAACCACGATGACCCCATGGGTTCCCCGATAATACCTGTAGGGCCAGGGTCTGTGTCAGAGCTTCAGCCTGCAGCCAGGAACTGGGAGGGGGCAAACGCTTTCCAACCAGGCACCCTGAGTCTCTGCCTGGCCTCACAGGGACGCACTGGCACTGTGCCTCCGCCAGCAGGAAGGGGTGCTCAGCGGCACTGAATCTCACGCTGTCTCCAAGGCACCAGTGAGTGCCCGGCCCCAAGGTGGCAAATCGGTGTTCAGAGTCTGCCACTAGCTTGAAACTTCTTTGAGGTTCTTGTTTTATTTTAAAAATTCAGGCAAGTTTTGCATTTGACATCATATTATCACTACCCTTGGTGTGGTTTTTGTTGTGTTTTTTGTTGNCTCGAGGGGCACCTGTTCAGGACTCAGGCAAGAACAAACAAGAGCTGGACACAATGGGTGGAAGAAGCCAGGCCCACCCAGAGCACAGCTAAAGAGAGGAAACAGACCCTGGAAGAAAATTTGGCAGCTTGAACCTTTATTTTTAGTACTTTTTTTAAAAAGCATAATTAGAAACTTTCAATACAGAAATAATCCTAGCAAACCATTTAAAAGTTTTGTTGTTCGACAGGATTTCACATCAGGTCCACCAGAACGTTGGTCCAGCCCTGTGAGTCCCCCACCCCCACCCCACCCCCATTCATGCGTACTAACTCAGCGGGACAGGCACAGTCGTCACCAAAATCACCCCACCACCTGGGTCTGGACATCCAGTTGCCAAAAGCCACGAGGGTTTCTCGCCTGGGCTGGAAACTTCCAGGACCCCCTCCTCTTATTGCTTGAATTTGCAAGCATTGCCACACTGGCGTCACCTTAATGCTCAGAGTGGAGTGTGCTGCCCACCCAGGACCCATGATCGGCCAGGACAGTCTGAGGACGGAGACCACGCTTTTGCTCTTGGCCCCCAACCAGACAAGGCTGCCTGCTGGTTGGCCCTGCGGCCACCCTCCACAGCACCACCTTCCCAGGCCCACAGAATTCCCCCAACTCATCCTGCGGCTCCAAAGTGAAGGCCAGTCACATGGAACCACAGCGTTTTGGCAGTTTGGGGAAGTGGGGAAACAGGTCAAAGGTTTGAAACCCCGTTTTGATTAAAAACCCCTCAACAGTGTTAACGAGGAAAATCTGCAGTGTGATCTGTGATGTGATTGTCCAGTCAGGGCTTCACCTGGAAATGGTCTAGGAAAGGAAATCTAATAAAACACACCATGGTGTTGAAATAAATTATTCCCAGGTTACGTGATCCTTTTAGGGGAAAGGTGAATAAAGTGTCCCAAGGAGGAGGAAAGGGGACAGTAATCAAGTGCAGATAACCCTGGTTTTTCCTCCGAGGGACCACGGTAGGTCAAAGCTGGCTGGCTCCCAGCCCAGCTGCCATTCTTTCCCACCTGCTAAGAAATCCTCGTGCTACCTTTGTACTAAAAAACAGTCTGTCAGTGATCCGAGGCTGCCTGCCATCCAGCGCAGAGGCATCATCCCCACAGTCCAGCAGCACCCACTCCCCACACTGCAGACCCAAGAACTCAGTGGGACACCCTGGACCAACACAGACGAAGGCGAGCGGCCCCTTCTCCTTTCCTACCAAGAAACGTCCAGGAAGGCAGGGCTGCTCTGCCAAGAGCCCAGCCCCACAATGACAGGAAGCCATTTGCTTTTTCTAAAAACACTGGACCCAAAGGAGAGGCCACAACTTTTGCTGCTGTGCCAACCAAGCCTCGGGAAGAGAAGAAAAGTGTGAGGAACTTAATTCATTTGATTTGGCTTCGTTTTCTTAGCTGTTAAAATAATGCTCCTAAGCCCCGTCCCTGCATGAACACACCCTGTCTCTCTGCTGGAACTGAAACAGGTTGGTATAAATAGAAGCCACAACTCCCCTGGGTTTGTAGCTTAGAGGCGTCTAGAAGGCAGGACAAGAAATTGTTGGCCAAAGGGCAGGAGTGACTCCTGTGGAACTAAAGGGCTGGGCCAGCTGAGGGCAGGGCCTCTAATGGGAACCCCAGGCCTACGTCAAGGCCAAGCCTCCCAGCTGTCAGAATGGTTAGGGGTAGGGGGCGGGG